GGGACATCCACCGGCCACTGTGATGCCGGAAAACCAAAAAGTAGAAAAAAAAAATTACGGATTTACATGAAAACGGATATGAAATGGGGAAAATGATGGCTAAAAAAAATCGTACTAATTAGTTGCTTGAGATTTGAGAAACGTCGAACAGGTTATCGACCCGACCCGAAAAAGCTCCACAGAGCAAAAGTACTTCTGTGTAATTAAGATACTTTCTACGGCTATTGCTTAAAAATTGCCACACTGACGTAAATCGGCGACAAATTTGAGGTCTTTGTCGGGATATATGCTAGAACCAAACCGAGAAATTGCTTGAGGGCTTCTCATCGGAGATGCATGGTTATGACACAATCAAGAACCCCACAGATGAACAAAAAAAAAAAAGAAAAAAAAAAAATCAAGAACAATCAGCAGCAAAAGTACCTATCTTTCAGTGGCTAAGGCCTTTGGGTTCTTGAAGATTGGAGCTTTTTCTCAAAAACTTTTGCTGGGAATCCACAGAACAATGGCGGGGCTTGTGGCGATCAGTTGAACAGCTCGTCTTTGCAGAAAGCTGTTGAGATTTATATATGCCGAGCGACTGACTATCATCTTCTTTACATACTCTCAAAATGTAGTTAAGATAGTGGCAGAAAGAATCGTAATTTAAAGGGGAAAAAATATTAGTTGTAGGGATAGATGGTCTATGGAGTAATAATGTAGAATTTATTGGTTATAAATAGCCGAACGAAATTTTTATCAACGATATAAATTATTACAGAATTATTAGTGTCTCATTATTTTAGCTTTCACATCCCTTCCCTCCTATATATTAATTCAGAACGTGTTGAGCTTACGTGACAGATTCACATGCTTCAGAATTATATGTGGCAAAATTATATGTTTCGTTATTAGGCTTTGGTTGATTTTAATGTACTTCTAATCCAAAAATAATTAGGTCCGAATTATCCATAAATATGTTTATGGTCACGTTACATGTATTAAGTGTATTTTAATATTATTTTTTATTATAACCATTGAACTGTAGTCTGTAAATGTATTTTCTAAATTAATAACTTTTGTATTTTTTATCAGTTTTACATATATAATATATCAAATTAATCATATCTTGATGAGCTTTGATTTAACATCCATATTGTATGTACAAAAAAAATTATATTTATCTTTGTAACAATAATAATATTTTTTAATGTTAATTAGAAAAGTAAAATTATTTATCAATTAATATATTTATATTTCAATTAGTTATATGATATAAGTTTAAAAAATTACTATAATATAACACATGTAATTCGCACAAGTAGCAAGTGTCATTCTAAACTATATAATAATATATATTTTTTGTAACAAATAAATAAAAATATAAAATAATTTTTCTTATTAATTTTTAAAATTTCAGAATAAATTTTTAACAAACACTCGTGTAATACGCATAGGTTTTGTGTGAGACAGTCTAATAGTTAGACGAGTCGACCGTCATACTATTGGTATGTCATAGAGAATTCAGTCTTGAACTGGAGCTCTAATAGCTCAATAGCTTGGCTCTGAACCGAAGCTCCTTTAGCTCGACTCAAATCGATAAACAATCTCAAGTTTGGAGTCGACCGTCATACTATTGGTATGTCATAGAAAATTCAGTCCTGAACTGGAGCTCTAATAGCTCAATAGCTTGGCTCTGAACCGAAGCTCCTTTAGCTCGACTCAAATCGATAAACAATCTCAAGTTTGGCTCCTTAACTAGTCTTAACAAGTCGATATCTGATGAGAGTAAAATATTGCGTAAAAATCCTATTTGTCAAATCTAACAAACCTTAAGCAAGCTCTAGCCGAGCCAAACAAAGCTCATGAACGACTCGTTTCGTTGGATAGCTCTACTTGTAACGTTTTCAATATTTTACATGTTTATCTTTATTTCCAATAATGGTTTTTATATTGAATTTTGTAACTCGAATTTTTTGTTAACTGAAGGTTGAAACGTAATAAGGCGCATCCAAATATCCAATTTCCCAAAGGCAACACAAATACAATAAGCACCCAAATAAGAGGGTTAGCATACATACAATCAAATCCCAACAGTCAGATAGATAGGGAGAACAAAAAAAAGGAAAGGGGAAAATTGAGAAATAACAATATGGCAATTTACATACAATCTCCACGTCTCTATAGCTCTCACCAACTTAAATCATACTATACCAATCTTCACCTCCAGCACCCAATCAAACCAACATAAGTTTATATAGATATAAAGAAAAAGGAGAACTTGGATCCAAAATACTTGTTTTGGGCAGTTGGGTACCATTCGATTTGTCTAGAAAAGGTTTGTGCTCACCTTCGCCATTTTCGGTCTGAAAACAAAGATCGAAGACTACATTAGAAATAAATGACAAGTCAAGTATAACATAGAAACTTAAGTTGCTAGCTGAACATGTAGGAATCTAACAGAATATATCACAATCTTATATCCAACAAGAAATTATTGTTGGAATATCACTTGTGAGTTGTCCCACGTTGTTCTATAGAATAAATGAGCCTAGTTTATAAGTCTAGTGGGCTACTCCTCCCATCACCAATTGGTTTTGAGATGGAACCTCACTAAGGTGCATCTAGGCTCACCCTCTTATGGTGCGCTTTATCTGGTGGGACCGCACTTCCTAAGACCTGCAATGACTCTCTCTACCCGGCTGGGCTTGGGCTCTATATTTCTACCCGGCCTGCTCTAGGTTTGGGCTTATGAAGGACTCACAAGTGAGAGGGCGTGCTGAAATATCACTTGTGAGTTGTCCTACATTGATTCTACAGGGTAAATGAGTCTAGTTTATAAGTCTAGTAGGCTACTCCTCCCATCACCAATTTGTTTTGGGATAGAACCTCACTACGGTGCATCTATGCTCACCCTCTTATAGCGTGCTTCATCTGGTGGGACCGCACTCTCTTCCCCCGATTCTAATAATCTTACATTACTATCATATAGCAGATGAATTTTCTGATAAATTAACACCTTTTGGATAGTGTGTGTCATATTTAAGTAAAAAAATTGACCATAATCTTAACTTCTGTACTATATAACCTTTATAACGAATTTCAAACTATAATGATCCGACAGACATTACCAATTTCAGCACGAGAACTCTTTCAAACGTAACATCCAGTGGCTGAAAATCAATTGATACGAACATAGCACGAAAAAAAAAAAAAATGTAAATAAATCACATCATACCTTGAGGAGAATGTGTTGCAGTTCCCTTTGTGTTCTGTTGTGCCTGAGACAGAGACCTTTGAATCCGAGGAGATCCTTGCCTCTCGTTCGTACCGGGTAAAGAATGCCTCTTTTTTCCGTAAATATCCTTGTCGTGCACGTCTGGGCTTGATCTTGGAGACCCATTCACAATAGCCTTGGCCCTTGCAGACTCAGTTGCCTGCATGTAACTCGGGAGAGAGTGACTACTGCTACTATCTCTCGGCTCCTGCTCCTTGTGGTCAGGCTTACCACCCGAGCCGAACGAGTCTCGCCTCTTTCCAGATTTAGTCTCCTTTAGCTGCTCCAAACCGATTCTCGAACCAGAATCTTGGTTATGGTTCTTATCAAGTGATGAGGACTTGCTCTTACGACTGGAGGAATCACTTTTCTTACCCTTGTTTTTCTTGGGTTTGACAGACGACACCTGGCTACCAGGAGTTGCTTGGAAATCGGGGACAGTTATTTGGCTCCTTGGAGAAGCTTCAGATTCGACCTCCAGCTGTAGGTCACTCGGCTTAACTTCTTCTTGCTTTTTCTCTACACTCAGATAGTCTTCAACATTGGTGGAATCAAGGGACTCTACAGCAGCTGAGTTGGCGCTTTCGTGTATCATTGAACCATTTGTGTTGGTACATGATAAGTCGGCTTCCATTGTGGCTGGCATTTTATCATCATTAGCTTCGGTTTCTAAATTCTCTTCGGTTATAAAATGGTTAGTCACTTTTGTTTCCTGTTCGATCTCGTTGGGCCCGGCCTCTGACCTGTCGGGTGAGTCGAGGGTAGAAGAAATGGATAGTTCGGTCCCACATTCAGAGCCAATCAGGAATGCTGATGTCGCAGCAGATACGGTGGTGTTGTCAGGTAACTCATTGCCTGTAGATTTGAATGATCGATCAGTAGAGAGAGAAGAAACCTTCTCGTTCTCATGAACAGTCTCGACCGAAGGGTCTAATTTTGCAGAAGTCAGTTCTTCGAATTTCGTTTGTGCCGCAACAAAAGCAGGATTGCTCGCTTTCCTCGACAGACTTTTCGACTCGGATTCAGTCTGATCGTCTTCTATTTTTTCGTCCTTTTGGGGAAGAGATTTCGCCTCAACCACCTCAATGAAATCCGTCCCTTTCGTCTCGACAGGAGCAGATTCTGTAGCTTCAGTTGTTGAGTAAAGTTGAACGACTTCCTGCAGATCAGAGAGGTTGGATGAAGATGATATGGATTTGGTCGAGTGTAGATCCAAGTTGGTTGAGTCACAACTGATCAGATTATTTTCAGCCGATGCAGCCAAATTAGATTTCATGTCTTTGAATTCAGCATGAGAATCCCTAAGAATTAAAATGTCTTCTTGGCCATCAGAAAGCCCAAGATTCTCCTCAGGCAGATCATCCTCGGTTGATATGGATTCAGGTGACTCTGTGCCACTGCTCACTGATGAGGCAGACATCCATCTTTCAAACCATTTCCAGGCGGAGTCAGATCTCAAAGGGTCACACTTGATGTTAATGGGTTTTTCCCTCGGTGTTGACTCAATAAGCTGAAATTGTATTTTGGTAGACAAGTGAAGATCAGAACTGGTTGTCACCATTTCTAATCAGAGCACGGAAATATAAAGTAAGGATCTACTTTACCTGACGTGCGAAAGCATTTGTGAGTAGCTTCTCGATGGAAACATAAGTGTGTGTAGTGTTTGGTTTGGCTGCTTCCTTCTTCCCCTGAAAGTAAAGAGATGAAATGACATCAGATAATTTTAAAATGACGAGCAGAGGGGGGAGGCATAATTTTCAGGGAACTAATCATTTTTTTAATTATAGTTGAATGTTGTTACCAAGAGAGTTGGATCATTATTAGCAAGCCGACCAGCAAGTCGTGCTCTGACAAGAGCTTGCATCTTAATGATGGCCTGAACACACCGAAGAGTTCCAACTGCATGCCTCCTGACTAAATGTCCTCTCACAGCAGCTTGCAGCTTAATTACGTTCTTTTGCTTTAGTACCACTTGCTGAGCCTGGTAAAGGAGAAAAATAACAAAACCGACACTTAACCATGCATGAATACTTAAATTGAAAAGTTAAAAACTGTTAAAACTGTAACGGGATTCGGGCCATACCAGCAGCCTCCTAATGGCAGCCTGGATTATTACAACACTTGGCTCATCAAAGGTGGTTGTATCTTTTTTGCAGTCATCTTCAATCGCAGAAAGGTTCTCTGATAACTTTGAGTCCAGTTGATGGGTCAACTCTGTTGTTTCTTCAGTCAACTGAATAACCAGGGGCTTCCCGGGTACAGACGAGTCGGGATGCAGTGAAAAGTTGACAGCTGGAGATTCTGGATTCTCTTTATTCACAGATGAAGGTACTTCTGAACCAACACTGTTGCTCAAAACCCGATGCCGGGCGGATCTCTTACGGAAGCTCCATCTACGCCGATCACTCGAACCCTTTCCCTGCAAATAAGTAAAAAGGTAAATCAAATGTTAAATGCACGTGACTCAACGCAGGATATTGAACCTCGAGAAATATTTGGATCTTGAATGATATAGAAGATCTTACTGTAAGTTTACTTGGATTTATGACATATAACAGCATGAAAAATTATGATAAATCATTATATGGAAGAAGCCAGGACCAGGAGCAGATATATTTTTTACATTTTACGATATTAAGCAATAACGCTTCAGTTTCATTGGTGAGAGAATGTCGGCCCAATGCACCCTCACGGCAAATAGAAAACAAGGAAAGAAGTATATAATAGTGAGTTTCGATTAACTCACCTGACTCTTATCAACTGGTATAAATGTGCAAGTAGTGGGATTCGGTAAGTTTAGTAACAATTACAGGTGTACAGCTTAAATGAAAACAGATTGATTTTCTATTTTATTTAATTGCAAACCCATGTTTTACAAATTACAAGCAACTATGCATGCAGACAGTTTTAAAAACTCGCTGGACGCCCAAACTCGTGCTGCGAAAGTGGAATAACAAGTATTGCCACAGTTTTAAAGAAATACGCTATAAATAGTTTGTAATCTCCAGTAACGACCAAAGTTTAGGTGAAGTTGCAGTTATAAACATCATCACTTTACATAATAAGAAACAAAG